CCGTTGGTCTCACCAGCAGGTCGCGGACGTGGGTCGCGCGCACCATGCCCGCCGAGCGGCCTCCGGGCTCGGCACCGGCCCGGCAGGTGGGTCCTGGCGCTCACGCCTCCTCTCCCTCCCGCGGGGCACCCGACAGCGGGTTCCGCCGTCGGTCCTGCACCGCCGGGAGGGGCGTCCCGGGTTTAGGGAGGCTGCCCAGGTCTGGAGACCCCTACGGTCGTCTCCTTTGACCGGGGGGAGGCACCGAGTCCAGAGAGGGGGCTCCCCTCGGGACACGGATACCCGCTCCCTCTTTAAAAGAAAGGGCCTAGAATGGAGCTCAGGACTTGGGAGTCCTGAGCGGGCAGGCTGGGTTTCTGCCGCTCTGGAGGCCAGTTTAACCAGTTCGCCCCCGGGAGAGGCTGGCCAGGGCAGGGAGTGGGAGCTCCCAACCGTCAAGGCGGCAAAAAAGTCGTCTCCACCCACCCCACCTACTCGGGCCGGCCCCCCGCGAGGGCGGGACGAGTGGTTCTGCGGCCTGAGAGGGACTGAGTGAGGTGAGGTTGGAGAGGGGCTGGGAGCCCTGCTGGGGCCGCTGTGCGCCGCTTGGAGCCCCAGCCCCCTCACTCGCTGCGCCAGCAGCTTCCAGGCCGGCTTATATAGGCAGGCAAGTGTCTAAAATCCACCTGCCCACACCCCCAGCCCAGCGCACCCCCGCACCCCAGCTGAGAATAACTCTGCCTCCTGTTGGGACTGGGGGGTAGGCGCTTTCCCCCTTCATCTCTTTGCTCTTATGTAATCCCAGAAGCTACAGGGGTTCCTAAACTAAGCATCAGGTGCTTAGCTGGTGCCCAGTCTCCACCAGAAGCCAAGTTCGGTGGGCACCCAGCCAACCACCAAATGCCAAGGACTGCCCAGGAGTACCTGTCCCAGGCGCTGGGCAGCCCCAGCCCCTCGCTCCACATCTGAGGCTTTCCCCTTTGCCTCTCCTCCTCCCCAGGTGCTGTCACTAACCCTGCCCCAGTAAAGAGCTGCTGGGGCTGGGTGGTCATGGGGGAGCCTGGTAGAGAGGAGTATAAAATCCAGTGTTTTGATGCAGAGACCCAGCAGCTGCTGAAGACAGCACTCAAAGGTGAGCATGGGGAGCCCTCCTGAGCCTGGGTCTGGACCTGCAGACACGGGGCCAGGGGGACAGGACTGGAGGACTGAGCCTTAGCCTGGGAACGTCCAGTTCGCTCTCTCCCTTCAAACCAAAAGGCAGGCTACATTCTGGCCAGTATTTAGGAGTGTGATTCAGAGAGTCACCTCACTGACTGTAAAACCCTTTTTTAAAGTTTAAGTATCCATGAAAGTGGGGTGGGGAACAGAACACAGTTCCTGCCCTTTAAGTCCTTAAATTGGGCTTGGTTCCTGCGTTGCTGCAGCCAGCTCACTTGAATGCGCGGAGCTGCCCTTGTAGGGACAGAGGATGGAGTGTCCTGCTTGGCAGAGGAGCTAGAGTAATTGTCCTGGACCAAGGCCTTCCTGCAGCACTCAGGGCAGAAGTTTGACTCAGCTCACAATTAGCAGTGCCCTGCCTGGCCCTCTCATGTCAGAGGTTCATGGGTGTGTGTTATAACACTCTCCTGTAAAATTGCTGTTAAAGACACATATTCAGTGCTCCTTCCTCAACCTAGTGCCACAAGAGGTGTCCTAAAAAAACAAGCATTCTTCGATTAGTCTCTATCGGCCACATAACCCTTCCTGTTGCCTCCAATTGGGCTACAGGAGGCTCACAGCTGGAGCTGCTTCCATGTGTGGTTACTTCTCTGTATGTTTTCTGGTCTCTTTCAATTAAATGTAAGCGTACAATGAGAGTGCTGTTTTGTAAACATCTCCAGTCCTCAGGAGCAGGTGGAGGCAAATGTGATCATTAAGCAGCTCGAGACTGCCTGCCTATCTTTACCCCAGATCCAGGTGCCGTGGACTTGGAGAAAGTGGCCAATGTGATTGTGGACCATTCTCTGCAGGACCGTGTGTTCAGCAAGGAAGCAGGACGCATGTGCTATGCGATTATTCAGGTTGGGTAGGGTTGGTGAAGAGGGGAGATACTTTGCTTCAGGAGTGGGCAGAGATGCAAAGGACTTCCCTCAGAGACAGAGACGAGTAGGACAAGAGGGTCCTCAGCCCTGTTAGCTTAGGTGGGAGTTGTGACGGTAGCGTCCTCCCCCCCATCCTGTCTCTGGTTCACAGGCGGAGAGCAAGCAGGCCGGTCAGAGTGTCTTCCGGCGTGGACTCCTCAACCGGCTGCAGCAGGAGTACCAGGCTCGGGAGGAGCTGCGAGCCCGCTCCCCACAGGGCTGGGTCTGCTATGTCACCTTTATCTGCAACATCTTTGACTACTTGAGGGTGAGGCCACCACAGCCACCCTGTACAGCAGAGACAGCCTGTCTTCTGAGGCCACCAAGCCAGTGTTCTGAGCCCTGCTCTCCCCCACAGGTGAACAACATGCCCATGATGGCCCTGGTGAACCCCGTCTATGACTGCCTCTTCCGGCTGGCCCAGCCTGACGGTCTGAGCGAGGAGGAGGAGGTGGGTGGCCCTGGCATGGAAGGCAGTGGAGGTGGGCAGTCTTTAGCTCAGCTCAGAATGCCAGCCCAGTGTCCATGGAGGCCTGGAGGGCATCACTTCCTGGGGCAGTTGCCTGGTGGGGGCAGTTAAGGCCTGTCAGTTACAGGATAAGCTGCCAGGTCTGGAATTTATCCAGAACAGAGAGCAGCCAAAACCTATTGGCTCAGAGGCTTCCTTCCCAGCAGGAAAGCCAGCCTATAAAAGGGATGGTGAGAGCCTTGGCAGTTGCGGATACAGATGGCCAGAAACCAAGCCAGGACCAGGCAGTGTGGGAGAGGCAGGAAGTGAGGCTAAGCAGCAGTTTGGAGAGAGGGTGTGTGTCCTGCCTGGCCCAGATGGAAGACCTTAGGCAAGTCCCTGAAACATGCTTCCTCTCATATAAGGTGGGGCTAGAACCCACTGGGTGCTGACAGGATGAAATGGGAAAATGCCCGTCTAGAGCCAAGCACGGTGCCTGGCATGCAGCAAGAGCTCAGTAAATGGTTGCTCTGTGTGATAGGCTGGCCGTGCCCCAGGGCTTACCTCCCTCTGCCCCCTGCAGGTGGACTGCCTGGTGCTGCAGCTGCACCGAGTTGGGGAGCAGCTGGAGAAGATGAACAGGCAGCGAATGGATGAGCTCTTTGTCCTGATCCGGGATGGCTTCCTGCTCCCAACTGGCCTCAGCTCCCTCGCCCAGCTGCTGCTGCTGGAGATCATCGAGTTCCGGGCAGCTGGCTGGAAGACGACCCCAGCTGCCCACAAGTATTACTACAGCGAGGTCTCTGACTAGGCCTTCAGATCAGGCTTCCTTTCAAGCAGCACTGGCCTACCCACCTCCCAACCTGGCAGCCCAGCCTTTGCCTCTCCCAAAGATGTTTTCCCTTCCAGACTTGAAACAGCTCCTGAGAGGTTTCCTACTTACCTGGTGGTCCTGCCCTGAGCACCCTTCCTCCTCCAGGGATTGGGGAATATACCACACAGACCTGCCCCCCCTAGACTCTCCCATCACCTCCCACCTGGGCCAGGCAGAGAAGCACAACTAACAACCACTGCACTGTGTAACCACTGGTATAACACCATCTTGGTGCCTCAGTTTCCCATCTGTAAAATGGGTACCCATAGCCACTGGTGAAATGCTTTGGAATGTAAGAGGGAGAGGTGCAGAGCACAAGTCACACCAGAAACTGTTTTATACACTTTGTGTAAGGACCACTTTGGAAAAAGGCATATTTCCTCCAGTTGGGTTTAATGAGTGGCAGTACTGCATCACATGCTCCAGTTCAGGGTGACAATTTTCTAATAAACCTTTCTGATACTAAAATGCTCCCTTTTATCACCCTAAGGTCCACTCCAAGCAGAGGGAAGAGAAGGCTGGATAGGCCCTAAGTTTCTTGGGGGAAATCCAAGTTCATGTATTGCCTCTTTGCAAAAGGTGGGGCAGGGAGAGCAAGTTCTAGCCCACAAAGGAAGGACTAAAGCAAAATACTGCTCCATCCTTCCTGTGAGGCCTGCCCGCCTGCCCTTAAAAAGGAACTGCATTTTTAAGCACAGGTATTTTTCAATGTAGTGGCAGCTCACATTGATTCCTGCAGTAGCAAGCACTGGGCTCCTCCTGGAGCCTCTACCCTCCCCTACCACCAGCGGTAGTGGGCCAGGGCACGGTTGGCCTCAGCCATCTTGTGCATGTTGTGCTTCTTCTTGATCACAGGACCCTGGTTGTGAAAAGCCTCCAGCAGCTCCTGTGACAGCTTCTCTGGCATCAGCATCCGCCGATGCTTCTTCTCCCTGCACTCAGTAATCATCCACTTCATGGCCAGGAAACGCCGCCGCCGGTCGGCTAGTGGCACCGGAACCTGGGCATGACAGGACATGGGCAAGTTGGTCCAAGGATTTGCCAGAACTGTAGCCTCCTTCCTCCAGGAGCTCTAAAGTGTGCCCACAGGTTCCCTCTGGGTCAGCCCTAGCAAGGCTCCTGAGGAAAGGGGCCTGTCTTTTCCTCTTTGAGCTTCCCTCACCTTTGGGTGACCTCAGTGTATCAGACATCAGAGGCATTCACTGAGCAAGTGCTCATTAAGCAAGACCTCTTTCACCTGTAAATGGAAGCTCAGCCAAATTGATTAACAAGGCACCAACTGGGAGAAGCCCCATCAGCTGGGGTGACAGTCAGCTGAGGTGATGGGTGCCTAAAAATAAGATTCTCTTGTCCAAGAATCATTTGCCAAGCCCCCACTATGGTATCACACCAGGTATCACGCCAGATCCTAGGGACACAGACATTAATGAGAAAGTCTCTACCTTTATGAAGTCTACAGTGAAAGAGGACCATGAAGTATAATTAAACACTATAATGGAGGCACCTAGTTCAGTTTAACAAATGGTGGTGAAGCATCAGTTACAAGTCAAACGCTATGCTAGACACTGGTGGATAAAGACGAGGTATAAACATAGCCTCTCACCATGAGAAACTGACAGAACACAAGATGCTGGGGGGTGGGGGGCTCCAGAAGAGGGTACTTGGATACTTGTTCTCTTCCATTTTCTGCCTGTCATTTTTAACACTATGAGACTCAGATGATCAGATCCTGACGGTCTCTAGTCCCTAGAAAGCTATCAATCTGGATCCAACTCTACAAGAACCCTTCCCCCATCTTGTTACACATGTGGGCAACCCTGGTTTCCCTGCCCTGACCACTTACCTGGTAGAAATGGCCACCCTTGAGGATGGGTACCAGCCCAATCACAGGCTCACAGTTTTTCAGTGCTTGGTGGAAGATGGTGTAGGGGTTGCGTTCAATGGTTGCCTGTTCCTCTGAAGAAGCAGCATGGTACTTCTCAAATTGCTTCCTTTTCACAGCTTCCAGAGTCTGCAAAGGGATACAGTGGTAGAGGCTGCCCAGGCTTCCTGAATGGTTTACCCAGCTGAACTAGTATTTTGCCCTTCACCCCCACCATCTCGCTCTTCTATAGCAGTACAGCTCCTCCCCCCAGCACTTCTAAGACAAAGTTCTTAAGTGCCTCCCTCTTTCCTCCACTAGGCCAGAAAGGGAAGGCTAAGATTTCAGGGAGGGGTGGGGATGGCAGTTGTTGACTGCTGCAGGACTTCATTAAAGCCCCCAACACATACATACAGGGAAGTTAATTTTAACGACAGACACATGAATTCATTCTTGTTCATGCTAAACTGAAAGAGCCAAGTACAAAACCATAGGAGAAAGATGAGAGAGGTACCCTTTACCTGTGCCATGAGGGATCTGGCCAGTACTTTGTTTCCTCCTTTCATCATCATGTTGGTGAATTTACTTCAAGGAGAGAAGCAACATGTTTACCTTTCCAAGGCTGTATCAGAGAATCCTTATTGTAGATCCTCCCTGGAACTGCCCCAGTGGAACAAAAGAGTTTCCATCTAACCTGATCAATGGGTCTTCAAACACAGAGCTTGTTTTCGCCGCTGGGGCAGCTTTGATACGCTGAGTCTTCCTGAGCTCCCGCTCAAACTTCTCCTCCTCCGTCAGCTCTGCCAAGGGCTTGCGGTGATATTCCTTGTCAACCTGGGGATCTGTGTATTCAGGGCCATAGCGGCTCCCCCTAACCTGGGTTAACCTGGGAGGCGGGGAAGAGGCGGGCAAAGCTGACCCCACAAGTGAAAAGGTTTGACTTAATAATAGGCATGTTAGCCAACCAAACGGCTAGTGAGCGGCGCGCAGACCGCCAGCCAAACCTGAACAGCAATAATTCTGGCTCTTGTCCCAAGAGGTAGGAGGACCTCCCCCAAACAGGCCTGGAAAGTCTCCTCCTCGTCTAGTGCCTACGACAAGGACAAACTCCTGGACCTCAGGGTGGACGCCTGTCTATGCATCTCTCCCCCTAAATCCCAACACAGAGCCCCCGACTCTGAGCTCTTTAGCAACACCGCACTTTTAACTCCGAGTTAGAACCCCCTCGGGCAGGGGGCAGTTACCAAGCCTTCAGATTGGACCAAAGTCACGCTTCTAGTCAAGAGGTTTGGACCCAGATATCCTGGCCCCTAGGCTCTCTCCAGGTCCCCGCGCGTCTTGCCTGTGGCCCCTTTCCTTCCCCGCAGGTCTCCCCGAGAACACCCAAGCGGCCTCGCAGCTGCCCGCCGCCCTCTCACCTTGGAAACCGCAGGACAGCGCTCCGTACGCCCAGCGTTAGGTCCGACCACCCTCGCACTGCCTTCACCAAGGGCGCAGCCATCTTGGTTTGCTACGAGGACCCCACAAGAACTGCCCTCGGCGTGCCTGAGCGACTGACCGGAAACGGGGAAAAGGCTCCAAAGGGTCCTAAACCTGCGCATCACCCCATTAATCTGGGCGTTAAGAACCTCTCATTCCGAGATCCAAAGGGAAGACTCAAGAAGAAACACTCGCCCTCCCGTTATCCGTCGCAGCCTGGCGCGACCTTCGGTAGCGACGCTCACTCCTCTCAGGCCCCCATGCAGGCTCCGCCCCGGCTCATCTCTAGCAGGATATCGCGAGGTTTGAGGCCGCGGGCCCGGCCCGGGCGGCTGCAATATGGCGGAGGCGGAAGGAGAGAGCCTGGAGTCCTGGCTGAGTGAGTACCCGCGGTCGCTTTTGCATGCCCTCGAGCCACCACCGAGCCGCCCCTCTCTGCACTCTATGCCCCGTCCCCGGCCTCGCAGCGGCGCCCCCTGTCAGCCTGCAGCCGAGCCCGCCGCCGCCCCGAGCGTCCCGCGATCAC